AAGGAAATTAATAGAAATAGGCTCATTTAAGTTATAAGAACTAGTTAAAAACAAGTCTAAGCTATGAGCCGAGCTTTCATAATCAATAAAAAGTCTCTGTTGGGGACTTTATTGGGGAGCCATTATTGGGGAGCCAAACAAAAAGTCCAATTACAAAGTACAGATTGATTATCCCTAATCTAAACACCAAAATTATAAATGGATTCAAATTCAGGACATTCAATTGGATTGATAAAATATACACATACATTCCAGATTCTGACAAATTGAAATTTGAAATACTTGCCCCAATTATTTTGGATAAGAAACAATCTGTGTTTTCTCCATCGTTCAAGTTTTCCCAATATTACATATTAGTGTGGCATCAACTTTCATTGTACAGTTATAAAAATTAAGTAAGAACATCTGTGAGCCAGGCATGATGGTACGCACCTGTAATCCCAATCAGAAGGTGAAGCAAGAGAAATAAGAGTTCTAGGCCAAGGAACCTGAGCTACATGGCAAGAAAGGAGGAAAGAGTGAATCATTCGTGTGTGTGTGTGTGTGTGTGTGTGTGTGTGTGTGTGTGTGTGTTTGTGTGCGCGCGCGTGCGCCAGTATCTAGCAAATGTAAATTCGGGGTACTAAGACTTTGCCTTACTACCCCTCAAAAGAACAAAATGAAGCCAACAGTTATGAATATTTTCTGAATCTAAAAATATCTGGAAATGTGTAAGAATCTCAGATCTACCATTATCTAATTATGTGAACGTAAGAAGCTACTCAGAGTCTGCTTCTATACCTGAGAAAAGGGTTCCCTGTCATTAATATGACCATTGTATCATGAATACAATGATCATCCCTCCATACTACAAAAGGTAACCATCAAACTTTCCAACAAGATCTTGCTAAGAAATTTTAATGTCATTCTTCCATTGACTTGCAGCATTTTAATTCAACAACTACACTCTGAATCTTAAAAGGTTACCTATATATCTCTATAGACTAATTTTTATCTTACTTCTCTGAACAATCCCTCATCTCTTTGCCCTCTGATGTTCATTTTTAACTCATTAAAAAAATACAATCACCTAAATGCCTCAAATCCTGTTGAATGTGTGAAGACATACAAAAAGGTGATCATTAAGCTGTTACCTTACAATAACTGTTTTTAACTTACTCCAAAACAAAACACATTGCATGCGATTCCAAGGCACTACACTTATCCTCTAAGTACACATTCAAACAATGCACCATAACCTGCACTGATATGCAGTATCATATCAGACAATGGTAGCTAAAAAAATCTGCTGTGGAATGTACAGCTGAAAGGTGGTTTATCATGTTATGCTTATGGATGCAATTTGTACTTGCCTTTTCTCCTACCCTAACTCTTCCACTAGAAACATGCTCAGCATTGACAACTATAAAACCAGTATCAAATATTCAGCCAAGATTTAATTCCTTAGATAAAAATAAACAAATCTATTTTAATTTGCAATTTGCTCATCTTTAATAAATTATACATACATCAAAGAATTGTTGACAATACATTTCTTTATGACTTATTATCAGTAACTGTTTGATTTATATGTTTATTTTATGTTTGACACCTTTGTAAAAACTGGGCAAAAAGGTTCAAGAGTAGAAAAAGTTAAAGAAATCCTGTTCTAAAGCAGTATTTGAGCTCAGCATGTAATACACACCTACAATCCCAATACTTGCAACAGAAGGATTCTAGCCCTAGACCAGCCTGCAGTACAAAAGCTTGTCTCAAATAAGTATATAAACAAAAAAGTAAAATAGTTTTTTTAGCCAGTGAAGTGTCCAGTCCTATAATCCCAGCTACTCAGGATGCTCATTCAGGATGATTACTTAAGACCAAAAATTCAAGCTCAACTTGGGCAACATCTTGAGATCCTGATTTAAAAAAAATAAGCCGAAAAGTAATCATAAAATAACCAGTTACTAATAAGGGTATCCCTATACCAAAAGAATTAGTAGGCAGAATTTTCTTTTACGATAAGAAAGTTATATTGTTATTTGAGGGAACTATTTATTTATTGGAACACAATACATAAATGTGCTGGCCGCTAGCCTAGCCAAAATAAATTTGATCTCAAGGTTTAAGGAGAGACCTGGCTTAAAAGAAATAAGGTGAAAAGTTACAAAGAACACCTGACAGCCTCTTCTGTACCACACACAAAAGCACAAACATCCTCATATACGTGAGCACACTCACACACATACTTGCATACACACACATCCAACAGAAATGATGATAATGGAACCATAAGTACAGTGGCCCTCAACCTTTCTAATGCTAAGACCTTTTAATACTGTTCCTATTGTGCGGTCACCCCCAACCATAAAATTATTTTTGTTGCTACTTCCTAACTGTAATTTTGGTACTGGTATAAATGGGATGTAAATAGCTGTGTTTTGTGATGGTCATAGGCGACCCCTGTAAAAGGGTCTTTGACCTCCAAGATCTTGAGTGCTGCACTAGACAAGAGGGGACTTCGTCTCCTGACATAAGCATGGAGCTGAGCTTCCCTACAACTCACTCAGACTGTGTCACGAAGAAGAAATCTTATTTTTAAAAAGAAAGAAAGGGGTGAATTTGTGTAGTTAGTGGTAAATTTTAAAAACACACTAGAAAATTTGCCTAGGGATATGGTTTGGTGATAAGGAATCTGTCTAACAACTGTAAAGCCTTGGGTTTGATTCATAGCACTAAAAAAATTATGAAAGCTATATATGACTCAACAGGTTATATTCAGAAATATACATGTATACAAATATGTATATGCATGTAGTAACAATGAAGAAGAGGCTATGAATTTGAAGGATGTCAGGGAGGTGTATGTGGGAGGGCTTGGAGGGAGGAAAGAGAAGGGAGAAATGTAATTAAATTACAATCTCAAAAATAACAAAGATATATATATATATATATATGAAGTATAGAGGACTTTTTAGAATATGAACAACTCAGTCAAATTTTATATTTTTAAAAAAATTTTTAAATAATAAAAATCACTAATAGATTTCTCACAACCAAAATTTTCCCCAAATAATCATGTTTAGTTTTAAAAATTCAGTGTGAGAATAATCAGTATCTTTCCACTCAATTTTGCTCTCAGGTTTAAACTCCTCTGTAAAAACCCATTAGAACCTAGAAAGTGAGTATGATGGCTTAAGCCCATTATCCCAGCACTTAGGCTGAGTGGGATCACCACAAATCAAGTTTAGCTTGAGCTACATGGTAGGTTCCAAGCCATCCTACACTAGAATGACAGCCCGTCTTAAAGAATAAAATAAAATAAATGAATCTACTGGAAATAATTGAAGAATAATATACTGGGACTGGAGAGCTGGCTCAGCAGTTTAGAAGCACTTGCTGTTGCTGAAGAGGAGCAGTGTTTGGTTCCCATCGCCCACAGGGCAGCTCTCAGCCACCTGTAACTCCAGTTCCAGGGAGCCTGATGGATGCCCTCTTCTGGCCTGTCAGCGGATACTGTCACAGTGCACACACATACACAATGCAAACACTCAGAATAACAATTTCGAAAGCTCCAAGTGCCAAAAAACCAAGATTCTAAATATGCCTAAGTCAATTCAATTACAGAAATGGCACAAGACCACATTCTTTCAGTATTAAAAACTGCATTTTACTACAATAAAAACATAAATGATTTTGGCAAAAAGGTATACACACAATGCTGCAATTTTTTTTAACACTTCTAGAACATTCCCGGGACAGATTGCAATACACAGACATAAATTCGATTAAAATTAGAAAGAGAGATTACACTTTGTGCTGAATAGCATAAAAGGAACATAACATCCTTTCACCATAGCTAGGAAGTATCGAAACAGACCTAAATTGAAATTTGTAAGTGCATCAAACACAAAGCATTCTGACCAGTGCTCTTCCAAATCACAACACCCACTTAAGAGCATTAATGTAGCTTCAATCAAAAATGGATTACTATTACAAAATGCTTCCCTGACCCTCCCAAAGAAAACTTCTCAAGTGTCCAGAAAGTGTCAATATAGGAACCAAATCTTTTTTCCTAATATTCACCAATGTTTTTGAAATTCTAAAGGTGAATTATGACTGATTTGAAGGCTCCATAAAACATGTTTTGTCTATTATTACTGCTTCCCATCTCAACATTTTCCCCTCATCAAGATCAACCTACATTTACAAATACATACACATTTCACTCATGAAAAGAACAGGGTAAGGAGACAACTTAAAAGGGAAAGCCATTTGCCCTGATTATGTCACAATAAACTACCAAAATTAATTTCCAAACAGAATATGGTATCAATCAATACCAACGTGCGGAGAGCAGTATTAATCTGTTTTATCTTAACGTTTTTATAATGTCTCGGTATAGAAGTATTACACAAATACTAATAAATAATTCTAAGGAACAAGTTAGTGTTCAGTGTGTGGGCCCTTAATCACACCTGTAATTCACAGAACTTCTCTCCATTCTCTCCTGCTTCTCTAAAATGATCTAGTTTTTTTTCTGAATCACAACGCTTCCAGTACACATTTAAGTAGGGATTTGCAACTGCAGCAAAAAACAAAGCATTCTGACCAATGAATTTCCAACTTACATTAACGCAATACCCATTTAAACCTGTACTCATGGTTCTCACTAAGTGTCTAGCTTCAGCAGGGAGCATGGGAGCATAGTGCCAAGTTCTGCTGAATCCCGGACACTATCTCAATTAGGAAGGGGCCGAACCATATCCGGTTCTCACTGGATACAGTTTCCCATGCTTCCCATCTTAAAAACTTTACGTCTTCCCAGAAGAGCAATAAATACACGAGGACGCCAGGGACAGTGCCTGTAGGGAAGACGACTGATCAAACTAAATCCCTATATATGGAACCCGAAACTTCAAAACTTTCCAAACCAATTACAGCCGCGGGAGCATGGTATGTTTTGCTCCACCTTGCCCATTTCTTCCACAATCCCTCAGCAGGCGGCATGTCCGACTTACTGGTTAGTTGGAGGTGCGGTCAGCGGTATGGCCACCTCTTCCTCCTCGTATTCTGGTCCATCCAGGGAGTCACCTTCATCCACCGTGCCCAGGCCGGAGCCCAAAGGGGGCAGCAGAGGAGGCGGCGGCAGGGGAGGGAATCCGCCACCGGGCCCGAGGGTCTCAGCAGGGAACGACAGAGTCCCCTTGGTGAAAGCAACATCTCCGGCAGGTCCGGCGGCCGCGGCGGCAGCACCCGCCACGCCAGCCGCAGCAGCAGCAGCAGCACCGCCGCTCGGCGCGGCGCCCCCCAGGACACCCGCCACTGGCCCTGTCCCCGGGAACCCGGACCCCAATCCGGTTCCGCCACCCAGGGCCGCAGCCAGGTCGGCGTCGGCCAGCCCCGGGCAGGGGGCGGCGGCGGCGGCCACCGGCGGCAGGGCCGCGGGTAACTTTACCCGGCACGCCGCCGGGTAGGCGCTGGAGGAGCCCGCGGCCGCGCCGCCTCCGGCCCCCGCGGTCGCCGGGCCGCCTTCCTCACCGCCGGCCTCGGCCGCCATCATGTTGAAGCCCGCTCTCCTCGAGCTACCCCGGCCGCCCGGGAGCCCCGGGGGCCAGCAGGCCCGGGCTGCGAGCCGCCCCACCCAGGCGCGTCCCCCTTCAGCTCTCCAGGCAGAGGAAACAACAACAAAAGGAGGGCGCCCGCCGCCGCCACTACCGCCGCCGCCGCGCCCCCTCCTCCGGCCACAGCCCAAGCAAGCTCCGCGGCGGCAGCGGCTGCCTTACGGGAAGCGACGCGGGCAAAAAAGAAAAAGAAAAAATAAAAGCGAAGCCCAAGCGCCTGCAGAAGCACTGCCCGGAGCCTCACCGCGCACACCCACACTCACGCGCACACATGCACGGGGCGCCAAACTTCCTGGCTGCGCTCGAGAGGAAGGGAAGCCCGCTGCAGCGGCCGAGGCAGCCCCGCCGCCGCCGCCGCCGCGTCTCAACGCCCGGGTTCCGGCCGCCCCCACCGCAGCCACCGCCGGGGCAGCCCGAGCCGCGGCCGCCGCAGCCTCATCTCCGGCCGGCTGGAGACCCGAGCGGTGGGAGGGGCGGAGGGAAAGGGGGCGGCGCGCCGAACCCGACTCGACGGCTGGCTACCAGGGCAGGCGCTCGGGAGCGAAACCCGAGAGAGAGACAGAGAGACAGAGAGAGAGAGAGAGGAAAGAGAGAGAGAGAAAGGAGGGCGGGGCCCGGGAGGAAGGGAGGGGAGCCGGGAGCGGGCGGCGGCGGCGGCGGCGGCTGCTGCTGCTGCGCAGGCGCCTTCCGGGAGCGCGGCTGGAGGGAGGAGAGGGAAGAGCAGCCCCGGCAGGAAGCGGCGGGCGAGCGGGCGAGCGGGCGAGCAGGCGGCGGGCGGGCGCGCGCCCGGAGGCGTGGCACACTCTTTCCCTCTGAGCCCGGGGCGGGGGACGCGTGGCGGGCTCTCTCCACGCCGAGGGCCTCCGTGCGAGCCTACCTTTCCCCGGCTTTGTTTGTTACCAGGGCGAGGAGGAAAGGTCCCTCCTCTCCAGGCCCGAGGGAAGGCAAGGATGGTGCCAGGAAGTCAGGTCCATCCCCCTACTCTCTAACTTGTAGAGACATGGCCGCCTCAGCCACCGAGGCAGTCGGCGACAAAGGTCAAAGCCGTGCTCGTAGTGTATTCCTTTTCGTGGCGTGCTATGAATCGCCGTGTAACTGTCGCACGGTAGAATAATTCAAACCTAGTGTCGGGGACTCAAGAAGGCAACCGATGGGAGGAGCCATGGGAAAACTGGGGAAGGTGGAAACAGAGGTAAAGCCAGATTTCTACTACTATAAACTTCAGTTCCCTTCACCGAATGTCCCTCTCACACGTTTGCATGTCAGATAGTAAAGAAGTGTGAAGAGGAAAAGTGCCACAAAAAGCATAAATCAATGTATTTTTGTCCTAGATTGTGTGCAAGAATCTGCAAGACATATCAAAGTCTGAACTTTCCAAAATTACACTCATCAGATCGTTGTCACCCTTAAGGTAGCCAAGGAAAAGGTTTTGTCCGCCTTGTGTGTGTGTGTGTGTGTGTGTGTGTGTGTGTGTGTGTGTGTGTGTGTATAAGTTCATACACACACACACAGAGTTTGTATTGTCTTTTGGTGTTCCCTGGAATAAGTTCCAGGACCCTGGTGAGTTCCAAATTATAACTATGGCTTAGTACCTTTTATACTTTGTGTACATTTTCCCATACGCATTAAGTCATCTCTAGGTAATTTACAATACTTAATGTAACTTAAATGTCCTTTATGTAGTTAATGTTGGGAAATAAGAGCAAAAAAATCTATACACGTTCAGTACAGGTGCAATTTTTTCTAAATGTTTTTATATGAGGAGTGTGCCACCCATGAATATATAGTTTGTTGATACAGAGAGCAGATAGTATATAGGAATTCATATAGAGAGGTCATTCTGATTATTTAAAATTATCAGTATTAGGAATTTGTCCTTCAGGATTCATGTATTGTACCAGCTTTTCAGTTCTCCCAGGAGAGAGTGTCATGTTGAATGCCGCTGAATACTGATCATATTTTCTCTATTAAGTTTGACCAAATCAACATGCCGAGGATGGCAAGAGGCTGAGCTGGGGGGGGGGGGGGGGGGGGGAGGGGGGACCATTAAAGGAAATGACAAAGTACAGGCAGGACATTTCCATCATCAGTCTGCATATTCCGGTATACTCTGGCTATAACAACAATCTAACCTAATTAAACAGTGGTACTTGCCACTTATGCAAAGGGAAAGTGAGTTAGTGAAGGGACCTATGACTCAGGGTAGAACTCTGACCAATAACTTGTAAGAAATGTTCACCTCAGACTTTCTGTATCAGAAACCGCACTATTTGTGTTTAAATGAATCCTGACAGTGATTGTTGAGAACTTCTGTGCTATACTAGAATATGCTAATCAAGGAGGCGATATGTCATCTATTAGGTGGATGGGTAAGGTGTGGCTATTGGTTTGCTAAGGTCTGTGCTATTCTAAAACAGTTAGCAAATAAGAACAAAATGAAGCAGATCCATGATCATTAAAATAATAATGAAATACTGCTTCTTACAGTGGCCTCCTTAGAACAGATTTTTCTGTTAAATGTAAACTAAAATCCCACCTGTGCCTACTGCTGAGTGCATGAAGCACAAATACACAACCACAAAACCAACTATGTTCACAGCCAGAGGTTAGAAACCTGTGGTATTTAAACCCTACTCCCCAGCTCTAATGCTCATCACAACCACCAGACTTAGATGCAGGTTTTGAACTCACTGTTAGGTTATCTGTTACCACCTCTACTTTTGTAGTATGTGTTCAAATGCCATCTTTCTGAAAATCCAGGTCAGGCTCGATACCCTAATCAGAAACTTACCTCTTCCATTTCTGAAAATCCATTAGCACCCAAGTATCAATATTTAATGCAGACTAATACCTCCTACACACTTCTTTATTTCCCCAGTTACTTTTAAGTATATGTAACTAGAAGACTTTGATGCAGAAACAGTCCATTGTCTATCTTTTCCCCTAGCTCAGTTCTGGACATGCGCACTGCTTTTAACAGAGCTCCATCCTTAAAAGCATAAATAAACACTGCATTACATCACTGCACATCTTTGGAAATAAATTTCATACTAGCAGGAAGGAACTAGTAAGTCTCTTTGTAAATTTGTGTGTGTGTGTGTGTGTGTGTGTGTGTGTGTGTGTGTGTGTGTGTGTGTGTACGTGTGTGTGTGCATGTAAAATGTATAATATACATTCCTATTTGCAGTGCCAGGCAAATTTGTGCTTTGTTCTTTCACTATTGCTTACTCACTTTCAAAATATTTCAATTTATGTGTATGAGTGTTTTGCCTGCATGCATGCCTGTGTACCAAGTGTATGTGTTGTCTGCAGAGTCCAGAAGAGGGCGTTGTGCATTTCCCATGGAGGCCAGAAAAGGGCTTCAGAAACTGGAGTTGCAGGTGGTTGTTAGCTGCTATGTGGGTGCTGGGAATTGAACCCAGGACTTCTGGGAGAGCAGTCAATGCCTTCAACTGTTGAGCCATCTCTCTAGCCCCTACACTTTTTAAATCTCTATTGTCTTCTATGTTTTACAACCTTTTAGTTTGTCCAAAATTATTTAATGTTCCTTCTTGATTTAGTTTTGTCTTAGGCCTCTTTTCCTTTTCTACTTGGCTCATTTTTTTTCCTGCTAATTTCTGTTTCATGTTGTACTTCTGTCTTTTTTTTTTTTTATAAGCCCCTAAATTTCCTGACAAATTTCTTGAACCTTCCTGAGTCAAAAATTGAAGAACACTTTTTATTTAAACACTGAATTATTTGTTTGGAGAAGGAAATGACAAGTATTTTGCAGGAACTAGTGTTAGGTATGGACTTATGTAACATCAGTTAACAAAGGGAAGTAAACAGTCTTAATTAAATTCACAGAGAGTATTAGAGAGGTGCTGGAAGGCAGAACAGCTTTTGCATTCAGTGAAATAATCCATTATATCTGTGATTTTACAAAAAAATGGGTCATTTAGTATTTGTAAATGTATTTAATGATAAATAATGAAAACCTAGGAAAAGGCATTCATGAGGAGATATTGAAAGCTTACAATGTATGTTTATTCTCATTTCATTGCCAACTCAGATATTAATGTAATTCACTCCAGGCTCTTTTTGCATCTGCCATACATGAAGTAGATAAAAAGGTAATCCTGACTCAGTCATTGAGCATAGCTGAGAACCTGACTGTGCTTAAGCAGATATATGAAAAGTCGGTAATGGAACGACTAAGTGAGAAGCAATAAAGTGCTTACAACTGTGTTTAAGAATTCCAAAGTATGTTTGTGTCTAAGCACATCCTCAGCTATGCCAATTGGTTCCTGTATTTATCTAATGTCAAAAGATTTCATTGGCTCAGCAAATTTGAAGAAGAAGCCCTAGTCTCTAACCTAATATCCCCCACTGCATTTGTTGATCTCCAGTATGATTCCTCAGAGCACATTTCCTAATTAGGAACGTCTTTTGAAAAAATAACATTGAAGGGATACAGGCTATGAAAATGTCTTAGTTACTTTTCTATCGCTGTGAGAAAACACTGTGACCAAGGCAGTTTATAAAAGAAAGCATTTAATTGGGCTTTGTTTTTGAGAGCTAGAGCCCATGATGGTGGAACAAATCTATGATGGCAAAAACAGCTGAGAGCTCACCTTTTAACCTGCAAGTCGGAGGCAGGAAGAGAGCACACTGAGAATGGCAGGAGTCTTTGGAAACCTCACAGCCTGACTCTAGTGACATACCTCCTCCAGCAAGGCCATCCCTCCTTCCCAAACAGTTCTACCAGCTAGAAAACAAGCATTCAAGTATTTGAGCCTATTCTTATTCAAACCACCACATTCCAATCCCTGGCTCCATAGGATTGTAGCCACATCACATCATAATGCAAATACCTTTATTCCAACATCAAAAGTCCCCTTAGCCTTTCAGTCTCACTACTGTTTAAAAGTCCAAAGTCTCTTCTGAGACATCTTAATTGTAACTCCCTGTAAAGTCAAAAGCAAATTACATACTTTCCAACATGCAATGACACAGAATTTGCATTACCATTTCAAAAGGTGAGGAATCAGGGTATAGTGAGACTTTCTGCCCCTGAGCACACTTCGTGAAAGTAATGAGAATTTCTCTATATGTTTATCATTACTTCCCTGTCCCTGCTTTGAACCTTTAGCTATCTTGAAATAAAAATTTCAGAAAAGCCCAGTAATGGACTCTTGAGCACTATGATCTAGAGTCCCCTAATCCTGTTGAATCTCAAATTTAACTTCTGTTCCTCAGCACTGTTCACTGGTGGACCAAGATATACCTCTACCAAAGAAATTAGTCTACTACTTTTCAATACTGCCTCCAACAAATCCTTAGGATAAGGGCCAAAGGCAGTCACATTCTTTTCCAGATTATCACAGCATTGGTCTGCATCCCAGTGGCCATATTGTTCCCCTCTAAAACCTCTTGATCTGGACCTCCACAGAACAACTGTCTTCCAAGATACTACTAGGATGGCCTACTAAGCCGCACTTACATAGTTCAAATGTTTTCCCTTGTTCAGAGTCCCAAACTCTTCCACATTACTCCAAAGGACCATACCACACAGTCAGATCTATCACAGCAATAGCCCACTTCCTACTACCAACTTTTGTCTTAGTTATTTTTCTATTGCTATGAGAAAACACCATGACCAAGACAGCGCATAAAAGAAAGTATTTAATTGGACTTACAGTTTTAGAGGGTTAGAGTCCATGTCTGAGCAAAGGTATGACAGCAGGAACAGCTGGGAGCTGCAAGTAGAATGCAGAGAGAAGACTCACTGGGAATGGAACCACTGTTTTGAAAACTCAAAGCTTTCCCCTAGTGACACACCTCCTCTAACAAGGCCACTCCACTTAATCCTTCCCAAACAGCACCACCAACTGGGGACCAAGTATTCAAACATGTGAGCCTATGAGGGTCATTCTCATTCAAAGATTATTATATGTAACTTACTGATTAAAAAAGATTTATAAAACATAAATATCATGGAAAAATTAAAAGAATAGTTTGATATCTGATGCAATGAAGCAACCTTCAAAGAAATTAAGAGCATCTAAAACATTCAACTTATTTATAGTAAAACCTAAACTTTAAATATAAAAAATACTGTTTTGAAAATATTATGCCTATTACTATTTATCTTTATGTTCTATTTTTCTGTATTTTGCAGGGCTTTTTTTCATTATCAGAAAGTTTTCACTG